ATGGAGATCTTTGGAGCCGACATCCAAAATGTTGTAAGAAATCCGCGGAGAGGCCATGCCTGACATAAAATCCACTTTATGGCTGTGTTAACTTTTGTTGCTAGGGCAAAACAATGCTAGCAGTGGTGTGAAAGGGAAAAAATGCTCCAGCCAGCTGTGTTGTTCACAGTCGGGTAATTCCTCTATAGCTATGAATGGATGTGGGGCCAGTAGCCTGTTGTGGCCAAGGACAGAATGATGGATGATCTACACACTGTGCCCAAGTTGAGGAAGAAAGGCAGAAGTTCACTGCGCTGCTGTTAAAATGCTAATATGGGTTAGTTCACAAAGGAGCGATGAAACAGGAAAGTTAGAAGGAACTGACACACCTCATGTTATGTGTGTACATTGGTCACTTGAGGCTGTTCATACCTACACATCAGTCTGCTGGAAGTGACACAATTCACTGGTCTTCCTGTTTGAATAAAGTAAATCAACTTATTATTAGCTGCACTGAGCCTTGTGCGAATGACACTGAATATATACCATGACATGCCTCCCGCAGATTCTGGAATTGGCATTGGACCGTAAAAATATGATTTTCCTCCAACATTTCTCAGCTACAAGGGAGAAAAAAATCCTGAACACAATCTCCTCTGAAGCTGAAATTGGCAGCTATTCTCAGAGCAAGTAAGAACTTAATTTAATGGCTTACACGGATTTCTGACTGTAACCGTAATGGCTTACCTAATGTATGAAAACAGATCATCTGTCCTAGCAGATTCATGCAAAGCACTCGCTGTTTTAATTACACACATTTTACTACTTGCTTGAGAAAATATTAATATATCGTTCAGTAAATACGTCTCCGATGTCATAATTAAACCGCTGTGCTTTTTCGATCATTTTTTAAATAAAAAGAGTGTTCTGTAAAGATGGGGTAAAAAAGAAAAGTCAAGGCGTCGGCCAAAGCAACAAATCAAATGGTCCCTTACATTTCCAAACCAAGCATAGAATGAAGGGCAATTGGCTTCTTCTCCTAACATCTTAAAGCATGAGCGAACCTAATGGTGGCCACAGACGTGTCGATAAAAAGAAATGATCGTGTACAATTCGATGGAAACGGCACGCCATCGTCTGCTGGACATGGCCGTTTGGATTTATATAATTCGATCATGGCAGTCAGATCAAAATCAGTCGAAAGTAATCGATCGTTAGATTTTCAACCCATTTTAAACTTCCGAACGGTCTATTTTGGAGATCGAACATGTAGTTTATATAATGCGATTGATCGCTTACGGTCAGCTTTTGAGACAAATTGATGGAAACCTGCCTTTACGTTTGTGTTGCGTCGATCAAAAGGTACTCTTCGGTCTCCTGATCACAATTGACATACATTTTATCGATCATGTATATGTCAACACATCTGTTGCCACTATTGGATGCAACCTGCATTAACACTCAGTAAACAAAGGATGAATTCTGACTGATTGACAATGGGTTTTGGCGGTTTTACAGAATCCCTATCAATGTAAATTCTGTAGGTAAGTAGAGGAAGGTCTGATCGTTTTTCAGATGCATGCTGTTTGGCCAGAGATGCCTTCTTTACTGTATGGGAGAGGAATGACATATCCGCTGCTGATATAACTGCATCACCTGTTGTGGATGATGACAGTCATACCACGCTGTGCATGAGTGCAATCTACTTTCTCCGGAACAGCAAGGCATGACCTCACAAGCCCTAATATATACAGTGCTAATTAGATTTGTTGGAGGTCACACAATTATGTGTCATTGTGGAATCACTCTATTACATTTATAAGGTTCTTTTTTAATATTGCCTGAAGGGAACTCGTTTATTCACGTCTGATTCATATGTATCAGTAGGGACACATTCTGCCTGACTACTACAGGAGTAATTTCTTACCTAGCCTTGTTCACTTGCATTACCTATCAGGGCAAAACAGATGTCTCCTTTTTTTATATCCCCCTAACCCTGACTGGGTATTTCAAGTGACAATTACTGCTTTAGCAACTTAGCAGCAAATGGGTTAGTTATCTTTCTACAGATCTTTACACTATACAGCTAGCAACTCCCAGCAGCTTCACCAATAGGAGTTGTAGTTCGCAAGTGTTTTTAAACATCTTATCATATCATATTTGTAATAATAATAAACTTAGAGTCAATTTTGGAGAGGAAAACACTGTTTTAATTACATGCTAGACCAGGTAGCAATTGTTTTTTTTTCCTCTGTTTTTCCTTGCATTTCCTCTGTGTATAATTAATTGTATGCCACATATATTGTTGCATAAATATGACAAATTTGACAATGCCTTGAAAAGTGTTCTCATTTATTTAAGCTGGTATAATTAGATGCCTGAAGTATGCAATTAGATATGAATGACAGGGCACATTCATCTTTCTGTAAATTTCCTTGGCGCAAGGTAAATGTTTACAGGTAGCATTGTCATCCACCGGTGCGGCTTGGAGGATGTCCATTAGGTATATAGTTACGTCTACCACATGAATTCCTAGCCAGGGGCAAGAGGAGCATGGTAAAAATAAACTTTTGTTTCTAACCTCACAAAAGAAACGCCTCGTCCTGGGCTTTAAACATCTTCAGCAGAGCATTAAAAGCTACAGGACACATTCTAAACAGGCTTGTGCTTGCTAATTACTAATAGCTAGGCGAAACAATAGCCAGCCATCACTTATTTTACCAAGAGCAGTAGTAGATATCTGGAACCAACTACCAGCAATATAGCAGAAAAAAACAACAAGATAGAAGGAAAAAGAAAAATATAGTGGGAAAAACAATAATATAGCAGAAAAAAACAACAACACAGCAGGACAAAGAACAATATAGTAGGAAAAACGATAATATAGCAAGATAAAAACAACAACATAGCAGGAACAAAACAACAATAATCAACTTTAAACCCACCTAGCATAAACAAACATCTGCCCTTAGGCAAAAGCAAAAGAAATATGTTTCAATGTTTTTATTAGCCTTTGAAAACAGAACATCAGGTGCCAACCCCATGCAAATAAGAACACAGGGATTAGAATCATATCAATAAACCAGGGCTAAAAGTAAAGACACTTTGATTCCGTAGCTATCTGAGGTGTTAGGGAGCATATTCTAATTAGCAAAATATAGTCACAGAAACATTATGTGCTGGAGGAACAACCTGAGCAAAATCAAACCTAATATTGCCAATGACTCATATACATAAAACGATACAGACTAAAAGGCAAAGCAAACATGAAGATCAGAAGGATGTCTTGGTCTTGCCTGCTGCCATCAACACATTGTTCCTCTTAATTTACAATAGCTCAATAGAGTTGGGTCTTTGCTAACCCACCCATGTTGCTGTTCAAATAAAAAAAAAATCAATATATTCCTATTTCATGGATACTTTTTCATAAAGAATGCATGATATAGTCATAGATTCATATCAGATAGAATACTGATCTCATAGAATGTGGACACACTCTGCAAGGCACCCATGTCACCATAGGCATTCATCTAGTTATTTCTGCACAATAAAAGCAGGACAGCAACAGATCACAGGCCATGCTGGGCTTCGTAGTTCCAGCAAATGGCAACCCCCCTAAAAAAAAAAGGAGCCAGATCCAGCAGAGCAAGTGCCTATTGCAGTCCAGCCCTCCACTTTGAGCTCCGAGGTGTGGTTTCAATAGGTGGTGCACTGCACTAAAGCAGATTTTCCGTCCAGGATTTCTATAGCAGAGATTTAATCCTCGCACAGCCTGGGTGACCTTTTCAGCTGCGATCGGGCTTTTGGACATCAGATCTTTAACCCTTCGCCCGATCACACTCGGAATCGTCCACACCGAGAAATAAAAAAAAAAGTTTCTCCTGTCCCCAGCCCTGCAGATAACAGTGATCGGAGCCTCTCCTATTTGTTTCCATGCATAATTGATATTCACAATGAAATCGAAGCCGCTTGCCTGGGAGGATTCGGGTGCACGGTGCCAGG